GTGGCCCCATAGGGAGCTCCACCGAAGGCCCCAGTGCTGCCGCCCGCATGCATCCCCTACACCAATTTCGGCACACCCCTCACACGTTTCGTGGCCCCATAGGGAGCTCCACCGAAGGCCCCAGGGCTGCCGCCCGCATGCGCTCCCCTACACCCATTTCGGCACACCCCTCACACGTTTCGTGGCCCCATAGGGAGCTCCACCGAAGGCCCCAGTGCTGCCGCCCGCATGCGTCCCCACCCATTTCGGCACACCCCTCACACGTTTCGTGGCCCCATAGGGAGCTCCACCGAAGGCCCCAGGGCTGCCGCCCGCATGCGTCCCCTACACCCATTTCGGCACACCCCTCACACGTTTCGTGGCCCCATAGGGAGCTCCACCGAAGGCCCCAGTGCTGCCGCCCGCATGCGTCCCCTACACCCATTTCGGCACACCCCTCACACGTTTCGTGGCCCCATAGGGAGCTCCACCGAAGGCCCCAGGGCTGCCGCCCGCATGCGTCCCCTACACCCATTTCGGCACACCCCTCACACGCTTCGTGGCCCATAGGGAGCCCCACCGAAGCCCCAGGGCTGCCGCCCGCATGCGCCCCCTACACCCATTTCGGCACACCCCTCACACGTTTCGTGGCCCCATGGGGAGCTCCACCGAAGGCCCAGTGCTGCCGCCCGCATGCGTCCCCACACCCATTTCGGCACACCCCTCACACGTTTCGTGGCCCCATAGGGAGCTCCACCGAAGGCCCCAGTGCTGCCGCCCGCATGCGTCCCTACACCCATTTCGGCACACCCCTCACACGCTTCATGGCCCCATAGGGAGCTCCACCGAAGGCCCCAGTGCTGCCGCCCGCATGCGTCCCCTACATCAATTTCGGCACACCCCTCACACGCTTCGTGGCCCCATAGGGAGCTCCACCGAAGGCCCCAGTGCTGCCGCCCGCATGCGTCCCCTACACCCATTTCGGCACACCCCTCAAACGTTTTGTGGCCTCATAGGGAGCTCCACCGAAGGCCCCAGTGCTGCCGCCCGCACGCGCCCCCTACACCCATTTCGGCACACCCCCATCCCACGCTTCGTGGCCCCATAAGGTGTGCCGCCGAAGAAGATACGCACAATGGCGGGACCCACGACTGCATATGGTTGGGTCCTTCGCCAAGCTAATTTTATTGGGGGGGTAACGCCCGTTACGGGGGGGGGTCCGGCCCCAAGTTGGGGGTAACGGTAACGCGCGGCGGGGCCCTCGCACGGACCCTGGTACTTATTACCAGCACAACTGTCGGCACGGTAGGCTTCGTCGTCGTCGTCGCCGCTGTCGTCGTCGTCGAAGCCGACCGTGCCTGCGCACACTACACAGGCTCTGTACACCGCGATGCCTTTGTTCACCAGAACTGCGGCAGAAATGGTATGTGAGTGCACCACGGCGACTGAGCACATCATGACAGGCGGGTGCACCACAGCGCCCTTGTACATCTCAGTGTTGGTGCACACCGCGGCGCCCGCGTGCACCACAGCTGCTGTTTCAACGCCCCGTGTTTGCACCAGAATGCCAGCGTACACCACAAAACTTGTGTAAACCTGTAAGGTACCAGCGGGGCGAAAGTCCAGAAGATCGCTTGGGGGCCCAACCGTGGCCCTTTCATTATGTGAGCTGCTTGTGGATCTTAGTTTTTCTAATTCAAAAAGCGCTCGGACCTGTTGAGCCCACAGCGCCTGTGTACTCCATTGCGACTGTGTACATCATGGGAGTGTGACCCGTGGCGCCTGTGTACACCACGTGGCACGTGTGCACCACAAAGTTTGTGTACGGTTTTTTTGTGCGGAGTGTAAACCACGCGCCGTGGGGGCGCGCGGGGCGGCGGCAGCCTAGGGAATACAGGAAGCAGGAGCCCCCTGCACAAGCACAAGGCCCTTGAGACATGGGTCGACGGCTGGAGCGTGCACGCGGGTGCGTCGTCGTCGTCGCCGTCAGTTGCGACGGCGACCGGGGGGGCGACGGCGGCGGCGGCGACACGGGCGGCGGCGACGGCGACCACGACGACGACGACGACGACGACGGCGGCGGCGACGGCGACGACGCCGACGGCGGCAAGCGGCGGCGGCGGTGAAGGTGACCGCCGCCGCCGTCACCGCCGTCGTCGTCGCCGCCGATGCCGCCGTCGCCGTCGCCGCCGCCGCCGTGTCCGCAGCCAGTTGCCGAAAGCTTCAGCAGCGGTTGGGGCCCACTTGCTGGATACACATGCGGGGGGCTGGCGTGACCAGCCGCGCGAGGTAGGAGGGCCGAGCGCTGGAAGGACATGCGGCCACATCCGCGTGCAGGTCTCGCCCAGTCCAGCCCCTTGCACCAGCACAGGGACAATGGAGGGAGGACAGTGGTAGTAGTCATAATGATATTGTGAGAGTGCACCGGCTGGTTGCGCCATGGCTTGCCCGATGCGTTACACCACACGTTGTGCTTGCGTTCAATTACCTGCTCCATAGGTTGAGCCGTAAGCTGCGCCATAGGTTGCGCACCCAGGGCGCACCACACATCGCGCCTTACGTTGCGCCCTAGGTTGCGCCCTCAGGGCGTGCCATAGATTGCGTCGATGGTTGCGCCACAGGTTGCGCCAAAGGCGGGGCCTCTTTGTGGCGCTGCGTTTCAACGGAACTCCTGGTGCGCGCACTGTTCGGGGAAACGTCATGCTGGCAGGCGGGCGTCGGGACTCCGGGTGCAGCCCGCAGGATAATGACAACGGACGCGGCAGGGATGACGACGACCATTCTGTGGCACCTGTGGCGCGCCACACCGCCGATCAAGTGTTAAAGCGCAGTGCCCGTTGGCACTGCCCGCAAGATTTGGCGGCGAGCCGAAGGGGGAAATGACAGGGGGCGGGCCTTCTGAGAAGGCTCAGAAGGCCTCCGGCCTCCTGAGAAGATGTCCAAGCCTCCCCCGAAGACACGGAGGGCTTCTCTGAAGGCCACAGGGCTTCTGAGAAGTCCCGCCGCCTTCTGAGAAGGCCTGCCCCCTCTCACTCCCCTCCTGGGCTCGCCGCCGAAAGATATCCATTGGAGGTCGCCCATGAAGCAAACAGGTCCCACAAGAGACGGGTTTCGGACCGCACGGACAGCCCTCGTGGACCGGCACTGCTTCAAGGGAGCCTCCCAGGCCCGAATGGGGCCCCCTAGCAGCATTCAACCTCGAACGCCCGCGCTGGGGTCGCCGCCGCTGCGGCTGTGGCGACGACCGGCGAAGAGGGTGCAATTCCCGCCACCCTTCGCGAGGAGGGCGCCAAAGCTGTGAGAGATCCTCATGCCCCTCCTTCATATCCCATCCCCACCCAATCAAGTTCAATATGTAATTTGTTTGTGCATGTTGTTTTTTATTGCCCTGGGCACGGCCCCCTGCATCAGGGCCCGCAATGCCTGTGCACACCACGGCAATTGTGAACACCGCAACATTCACGTATGACATAACGCCCGTGTGCGGCCTGTACACACCACATCTCTGGGAGCTACGAGCGCCGCAATCCGACCGCCGCACCAACGCCTCTCAGCAACAGGGCACCACTGCGTCCGTGAGAGCACCGCGCCACGCCTGTGAGCGAGACAGAATGCTTGTGAGCACACAAGTGAGCGTCACAGCATGCCTGCCTGGACGGAGGGGGGGTCCGCACCCCCGTCCCCGTACGCTCGTTACCGTTACGGGGGGGGGGGGGGGGACCCCCCCCCGTAACGGGCGATACGGGTCCGAGCAATAAAAAAACAAGCTCCGGGCGAACCAGTACGTAAGACGATGTCGCAAAAATAAGTTTGGAATTTGGGGATCCGCGCAAGAAGCGAATCCACTCGCCCAAAGTGTAGTTTTGTGCCTGTCCGACACTTCACTTCGGACTCTCCCAAAACCTCGGCCTCCCCCCAAACCCTCGGCTTCCCCACGAAACGTTGCCACCTCCCCGCGAAAAAAATCTCCTCCTACTCCTCCCCTTCATCCTCCTTCCTTTTCCACCACCTCCTCCCTCCTCCTCCTCCTCCTCCTCCTCCTCCTCCTCCTCTTCCTTGATTCCCCATCTGAACCTTGCCAAGAGCAGCCCATTCTGGAGTCTCGACACCGCTGTGAGACACTGTTATGATACCCTCCAGTTCGATGGACATCTGCGCGAACCGAACACCTAATGCAGAATCGAATGCCCGACGCAGCAGCAGAGCACCGATCAGGGCTCGAGAACAGAAATGCGGGCTCTGTCGCGGGGCATCACCAGTCATGAGCATGGCGCTGCTCGGCCGGCATCGAAAAACAATGCAATGGCAAATCAATCATGTGGTCGATTCTTAGCGGGCGAAGACCGGTATACAATAAACTGTTCCGTCGCCGGGGGCGCCTGTCCCAGGGCGGCTGGAAAGCTTCTGCCCTGACGTGCCCCCGTAGAGGTCTGAACCTTCCAACCGCCCTGAGACAGGCGCCCCAGACGACGAAAAATGTGACTTTATATAGTTCTTCGCCCGTGAAGGCAGGAGAGTCCAGAATCGAATCGATGAGTCGGATCGGCGATCGAAATGAGTCGGAACGGCGGAAATCGGCAGCCGAGAAGGGGAAAAGTCGAATCGGCGCAAATGAGCAGGCAATATAGCATGCGTCCAATAGGGAATAGGAGCCCAATTCGGAATCCGAAGTCGAATGGAATCGGAATCAGAAGCCATCGAAATCGAATCGAATCGAATCGGAGGAGTCGCAATGAGCCCTGTGAGAGTTCCCTACTCGACTGCCCGCGGCCTGTTTGGACGCCCGAAATGGGTACGGAAAGAATGGGTACAATGCCCAACGGCAAATGTTGTCCCAAACCAACAGCGGCCGCTGCTGGGCAGGCGGCCTTCTGTCTCGAATGGGCACAGGCCGCGGAGGCGTGGACAGCGAGTCCTGCTCAAAATGAACCGGATCCGCTGTTGGGCATTGTACCCATTCTTTCCGTGCCCATTTCGTTCGTGCAGAACCTGGCCGGGCTCCCCGCCGGGGCCCCCGCGGCCTTGCCGCCGCACCAGGCCAGAGACGCCGCGCACGCCTCGGAGCCGCTGGCGCCAGCGGCGGGCCCCGGCGCGCCGGCGGACACGTGCAGGGCGACCTCTGCGGGCAGCGGACCCCCGCACATGCCCTCCTCCTCCTCCTCCTCCTCCTCCTCCTCCTCCTCCTCCTCTTCCTCCTCCTCGTCCTCGTCCTCATCCTCGTCCTCCTCCTCCTCGTCCTCGTCCGCGTCCTCCTCCTCCTCCTCCTCCTCCTCCTCCTCCTCCTCCTCCTCCCTCCTCGTCCGTCCTCGTCCTCGTCCTCGTCCTCGACCTCGTCCTCCTCCTCCTCCTCCTCCTCCTGCTCCTCCTCCTCCTCCTCCTCTTCCTCCTCCTCCTCCTCGTCCTCCTCCTCCTCCTCGTCCTCGTCCTCGTCCTCGTCCTCCTCCACCTTTTCCTCTTCTTCCTCCTCCTCCTCCTCCTCGTCCTCGTCCTCGTTACGCCGATCCTGACCCAGAATGGGTCTGGCCAGGATCGGCGCATGTGCGCAGTTCTCGTCGCCCGACTGCTGGCCCAGGCGGGCAGGGAGGGCGAGGGGAGGACTCAGGAGGCGCCCAGACAGAGGCCTCTGGAAGCCCCCAGGGGCCGAGAAAGCACCGAAAACATCCACAGACTGCAGCCATCGGGCCCCTCGGCCCCCAATCCTCGACCCTGGCCTGGCCCGAGCCCGCACCTGCGCAGGAAGGAGCTCCGGCTGATGGAGTCGGCGTGCGTCCCCGCTTCGCGCTCTGACCCGCTTCGATACCTTCCCTGCCCCTGAGATGGGCAAGCCAGCAGGCAATGACAATATGTGGGGTGCGTCCTCGAAAACCGGGGGAAAACTTGAGATCGGCATCGAGATGAGGCGATGCCAACCATAGGTGATACACGGCGGCCGGAAGAGGCAGGTCAAACAAGAAAGTATGAAGGCGGATAGAGTAGGTTGGGTTCAGGCCCTCGCAGAGAAGAGCAAAACACAGCAGAAGCAGATCGCTCCTTGAAGCAGGAAGGCGCCAGAAGTACACTGGGATCAGGCAATACAAGAAAACCTACTTTCAACAGCCGACGTGTATGAAGGGGCCCCGGGACACACAAACAAATATACACAAATAACATAATTCCCCATATTTTCCAATATTTTCACGGTTTCTGCCCTCCCCCCCTTCTTCCCATATTTTCCCATATTTTCTGGGGAATCGAAGATGAATTGTGTCTGTGAGTTTGTTCCGTATGCCGTCGACGGAGGCCCGCGGCACCAAGAGAAGCCACCCAGTGAGGGGCCCCGCTCCCCGGACGCTCCAGGCTGCCCTGGAAATCCCAACGGGAACGCCACCCGACGGCCAGGAGGCCCCACGACACCTCCGGGGTGCCTCCTCCTCCTCCTCCTCCTCCTCCTCATCCTCCTCCTCCTCCTCCTCCTCCTCCTCCTCCTCCTTCTTTCAACAAGGATATGCCCCAGGCTGGTTCACAGCAGCACGATCCACGGCAGGAAAGCCCGGCGGGGTCCGGCGGAGGGGCAGGAGCAGCAGCGGGCAGGCCCGGCGCCTGGGCGACGATCCGCGAGAGGACTTGCGCGAGCTGGCATGGCTGAAGGGGCCCCTGGACACACACACACACACACATGTATATATATATATATATATAAACACATTGACACAATAGGGGAACAAACCATGACATAAACACAAAAACTCGGAGGCCCGCACGGATTTCTCGAATCGGCGCTGGACCCCCCTCCCTGGCGCGCGGAGCGCGCCAGAGGCGGCGTCGGGGGCGCCGCCAGGGGGCCTCAGCGCCGATCCGAGAAATCCGCGCGGGCCTTCGAGTTTTTATGTTTATGTCATTTTTTGTTCCCCTACAGAAATCCCAGAGGCTCTCGAGAAGCCTCTCAGAAGACCACAAGCGACTCCCAAAGAGGCGCATTGTCCATGACCAGTCTTGCCCGTCGAATTGACACAAAAAGCCCTCCAGCGACCTCCTTCTCATCCTCATCCCCCTCCTCATCCTCCTTCTCGTCCTCCTCCCCCTTTTCGCTCGCCACGAGCACACAAACATATAGCACCAGTGATGCAAGATGGGCCAGCGGAGTGAGCAAAGCGACTAAATGAATAGACACAAATCCCAAAATCCCCCTATTTCCATATGTTCCATTGGTTTTCATCTTTCCGCTTACTTCCCATACTTTTGAGCAGGGACCGACCGTCCCGGCATTCCTATAGTCCTACCACGGAATGTTCTTAGAATCCAAAAATGTTCTGATAACAAAAGCAATGTTCTTAGAACATAAACCCGATGTGTGAAAAAAACAAGAGACTCCGCCAGAAATGCTCTAAGAACATTTCGTGGAGACCACAAGAGGCTCTTAGAACATTCTTTGGTAGGGCTATAGGCGAGCCCGGACGCTTCGCCACTGCTTGATACTTTCCCACATCTCCCTGCAAGTCGACGATGAATGGTGTCTTTGTGTCGTTTCCCCTCCTGAATGGCGACCTTACGCAGCGGCGTACGCGGGCCGCCAGCGCGGCACGCCAGTGGAAACGAGGGCGCTTGCGCGCGACCTTACGCGGGCAACTCACGCGCCAATGCTGGCCGAGACGACCCCGATGTCTTGTGTCGCTCACCTGGCACCTCCGCGTAAGCAGACGTGACCACCGGCCCCAGCCCTCCCAGGAAGGCGGCGAGCGGGGCCCCGACCGACGGAACGAGCGAGACACCGCCCTTCCACGTGAGCGTGAAAGGGAGAGATGTGGCGACGGATGGTGGTTTGAGCTTCGCTGAACCCTCTCGCTCATGCATGCGACAGCCTCGGCCTCCTCCTGCCACCTTCGTTTAGAGAGCCACGGTGACCTCCCACGTGCTGGTGTCCCACAGCCGCACGAAAGGCTGCCGGCCTCGCCGATGGGCTAGAATGAGTCGAAACAAAGCGATAATGTAAAACGGGACATGGATATCGCAGCAGGCTGTCTGCATCCGATGAACTACGCCCCATGGCTTAAAGAAAAGAGCCGGCGCTGAGATCGATGACGAGGTGAAGGCGAGGCCAGTACGGGCACGACCAAGCGGAACGCAGCGCGGAGAAATGAGAAAGTGGGCACCTACATAATCAGTTACCTTCGTCGAGCACAGCTGAACGTCAACGCAATGAAACGGTGGAGCGCTTGCACTGCATAAGTAGTCATGAATGCTATGCACATCGATTTGCGAACGATGGCTGCGTCGCTCACACATGGAACGGCAACGATAAGGAAGATCTGACCCTCGGAGAAGCACTTCCAATTTTTTGAGGTACTATGAGAGAGCAGAGAACCTCGCGTGCAAAATTGCTGCTCTCGCACCGTTACTCTCTGAAAAGGTGGTGTTCCAGAGTACTGCATGGCACAAGCTCTAGATGCTCCCTGCATGCACGTTCACATAGTGTTGTTGCGCCAACCCTGAATTAGGGAAACGAACTTCATACACCGACGCTTTTCCCGACCCTGCGCTGAAATTCACACAAGAACGCGGATTCTGGTGTATACGGGATCCTGGCGTATCCATGTTCCGTTGTTTCCCTTGGAAAACGGGGGAGAAGTATACACCACACCACCCCGACGTCGTCCCTGACCCTTGAAAAGCCGTGGGACTGAAAAACAGCCCGCCACTGGTAATGTACAAATGACAAACCAACAACACACACCCATACCCATAGGAAGGTCGGAGAGGGCTATGGGTGCGTGTTGTCGAGTGGGGGTCCCCGCTCGAAAGGGAGCGTCCCCCAGGGTCCGACAACCCGCACCCATACCCATGACCAGTCCTCCCCCCAACGACCCCCCTATGGGTATGGGTGTGTGTGTGTGTGATGCTCGTTCGTGAACATGTGTTCCGGTTTGCGATGGATAGCCCCACGGGGCCCGGACCCAAAACTGCCACACCGCCCCTGGTAATGTATTTGTGTTCCAGTTTGCGTTAAGTCGGGCCTGTCCCCCATACAGGGGGATTTTCGACGAAAAATAAAAGGAAATACCCCAACAGTAATCAAAAAAATAGTCCAAAGATAGTCTGGGGACTATTCTTAATCTATCTGTTTGACTTTCTTGGTGTCTTTGGGTTTTTTTTATGTTTCGTCGAAAATCCCCCTGTAGGGGGACAGGCCCGACATAAAGTCTGCGATGGCTATATTGCGGGGCAGGAAAATGACCACAACCACTGCTTCTTGTTTGCGCCGCCTTCCAGCCGGCCGAAAAAGAAGCAGTGGTTGTGGTCATTTCCCTGGTGCCAAACTCCACGAAAATGAACACAGCCACTGCTTTGTTTCTGCGGGCCGGAAGACGGCAACAGAAGAAAAGCAGTGGCTGTGGTCGTTTTCACGCCCCGTAGATATCCCCACGGGGCCCGGACCCCAACACCGCCACACCGGCGGGGGCGCGCCGCGTGGCCCCTGCGGCCTTACTGTGGGCCCCGGGACACGGCAGGGCCGTTTTTTTGTTCGCACCGCTTCCAACCAGCCTCGAACGTGTCCCTATCCCTAAGATGGGCGAGCAAAACGCGAGGACAATCTTAGGGATAGGCCCTCAGAAGCTGAGGGAATCCTTAAGATCGGCATCGAGGTGAGGTGATGTCAAACATAGGGATAGGGATTTGTTTCAAACTGGTAAACTTCCGAAAAACTGCCCCTTGAAAATGGAAGCGGCAAAAAAACGGCGACCGGACACGGCTAAACAGAAAAAAGGCTCCAGGCTAGGCCGTTTTTTTGTTCGCACCGTTTCCGAAAAACTGTCCCTTGAAAATGAAAGCGGCCCAAAAAAACGGCGACCGGACACGGCTAAACCAACAACAAAAAAACGGCTCCAGGACGGGACCCGGAGCCCGAGCCGGTCCAAAAACGGCAAAACGGAGCCGGCAAAAAAGCAGCGACGGAAGCGGCAACAAAAACGGCAAAATGGAGCCGGTAAAAAAAACGGCCCTGTCGTTTCCGAAGCCCACTAAGGCCCTTGGGCACACAAATACATAGACACAAAGAACAGGATCCCCCATATTTTCCCACATGTTCTAACTTTTTGTCTTCCCCCCCACTTCCCATATTCTCCACATCTTCTGGAGAATCGATGATTCATTGTGTCCGTGTGCTTTCTCCAGGGCCCACTAATTAAGCCTGCCGCTTCCAGGGCCCACTGAGATCTATAGAGGGCCTCTCGGGGGCCTCTTGGGTCCCTTCTCGGGGAGCTCGGGAGGCCCTGGGGGCCCGCGGCGCTTCCGGGGCCCTCTGCGAGCCTGCGGCGCGTCGCGTGCCTCCCTGCAGCCTGCCGCGCCCTGCCGCGCAACTTTTGTTCCGGCCGGGGCGGCCGCAGGGCCCCGCCTCGCCGCACAAGTGGACTCCAAGACGCCCAGGATGGCACACGACGCCTCAAGAGGCTCCCAGAGGCCTCCCAACAGGCCTCCCAAGACGCCTCAAGACGCCTCAAGACGCCTCAAGACGCACTTGTTCTTACCTGCGCGAGAAGGTTGCCCTGTGGCTGGGGGGGAAGAGGGCAGCAGCAGCAGCAGCAAGGGGAGAGGGAGGGGGAAAGAGAAGGCAGCAGCAAAAGCGAAAGCAAGCAAGCAAAGGCCGCACAAGTAAGTGGTCCGAGACGCCCGAAAGATGGCCCACGACGGCCCAAGAAGCCCCCAAGACGCCTCAAGAGGCTCCTAGAGGCCTCCCAAGACGCCTCAAGAGGCTCCTAGAGGCCTCAAGACGCCTCAAGACGCCTCAAGAGGCTCCTCAAAAGAAGCCCCCAAGACGCCTCAAGAGGCTCCTAGAGGCCTCCCAAGAAGGAAGGCCTCAGAAGGCAAACGTCTGCGTTTTTCCGTGGGGCGGTATCGACGTGTCGGCACCCTGACGCTCCAAGACGGCTTCAGAGGCCCCCAAGATCGCCCCAAGACGACCCAAGAGACCTCCAAGAGGACCCAAAGACTGCCCCAGAGGGCCCGAAGACGGCCCAAGAGGCCCCCAACACGGCTCCAAAAGAGGAACAGACGGAGGACCTGAACGGACATGTCGAGCCCTCGGTCCCGAAGGGCCCCCAAGAGGCGCCCAAAAGAGGCCCCAAGAGGCCCCCAAGAGGCCCCAACGAGGCCCCAAGAGGCACCGAAAAGAGGCCCCAAAGGCATCAAAACAACCCACAAGGGGCTTCAAGGCTGCCCCCAGGAGGCCCCCGAGAGGCCTCCCACAAGATCCCAACGAAGATCCAAGAGGCGTCTCACCCACAACCCAGGCGCGGTGACTAGGTAGGCCGAAAGCCATGAAATACCGAACAGACGAACAAATTAATACAACGATGGTCAGAAGGATCATTGTACACATATATATATATATATATATATATATGTATGTATATGTATTTGTATATGTTCGTATATGAATACATATATGTATATAAATACACGCACAAATAGATATATGCACATGCATACCTACACACTCATATATGCATAGTTACATATATACATGGATTTATAAATATATATATATGTATATATATACACATATATATATATATGTGCGTGTGTGTATGTATGTATATATATGTATGTATATATACATATATCCGCAATCGTGCCCCCCATGGCACGTTGAGGCGTGAAAAGATGGCAACATCTGCCTGGTAGGGGTTTTATGCATTCTAATAACGGACCGCCCCTCCTTCTAATAGCAGAACAATATTCAGTGCATCGCCTCTCCGTTCCGAGGCCAGCGAATGCCTCAACCCCCCTTCCACGCGGGCCCGCTCGAGGATGGCGCACGTCCCGCATGGCAGCTAGCACCCGACGCCCCTTCCACGCGTGCCCGCTCGAGGATGGTGCACCCCCTGCACGGCAACCAATTCCTGAAATCTCATTCCATGCGCGCCCGCTCGAGGAATCTGCACTTCCCACATGGCCGCTGACGCCTAGACCCTCATCCCACGCGCACCCGCTCGAGGATCGCGCACTTCCTGCATTCCCAAGCGTTGCTCCCAAGCGCTCCAGGCCCTCCCAAACCACGATCCCCTTTCAAAAACAATGCATCTGCGCCCCGAGCTTCCAAGACGACCTGTGCAGGCAGCACGATGGCCCAAGATGCCTCGAAGACGGCCCAAGATGGCCCCAAGGCGGCCGAACATGAATTCAATATGACCCAAAATGCCCCGAAGAGGGCACACATCGGCCACAAGAAGACCTCCGGCAGGGTCCGAGCAAAAAAAATACTCCGACGGAAAGACCCCGCATGAAAATCCTCTCGGCCAATCTGAAAAAAAAAACCTCAGCGTCGACCTCGTGATTGGTGAGGCATCCTTACTGCCTCTTCTGCGTATATGTCTTCTCGCCCTGGCGCGGGCCCTGCTGCAGACTTATTCGCACCTGCGTTGCGCGCTTGGGGGCGTAAGCCTAGGTTCTACTAATAAGTCTAGTGAGGTCAGATGGATACAACACATATATGTAAAACTACGAACGCTAAACGGTTAAATTCGGAACGGATCACAAACGAATAAAAAAATCTGCTCGCTCACTGACGCTACTGCTATCCCTCACTGATGCGGCTGCTGAATGTTCATCCTGGGGAAAGGGGCCCGAAGGTGTTACAGGAATCCGATGACCCGCCTCGGATTCGAACATGAAGCCCGGGCCCCTTAGGGAGGGAACCCCCCACACAATTCACTCACAGCCAAAGCTCCCTCCTGGGACTTCCTCCATATTCGAGCTCGAGGAACCCAAAAGTGACGAGATTACAGGCCGCCTCGGATTCGAACATGAACTGCGGGCCCCTCAGGAAGGGGCTCCCGCCTGGGACTCCTTTGCAATTCGCTCACAGACGGGGCCCCCGCCCGACACATCCTCCATACTCAGCCTGAAGAGCCCAAAAGTGGCGACAGCTACAGGATTGCGATGACCCGCC